ATATATATAGATGCGTACACAGATCAGTTTGTCAGGCATCTGCTTGTCAGTTGTAAGGGGAGTGTGTCTCTATATGTATATGTTGCCCCCGAGAAATAGAGCATAGGGACCAAGGGAGAGAAAGAAGAGGAAGAGAGAGAGAGAGACTTGTCCCGTCGTGGCTAAAAGGGGTGTTTCAAGGCTCTTTGGCTCATTTTATTCCATGAAAAATAGTGACTACAAGAGAGGGGGATCAAAACTCCCTTTTTTACATGCACACTCCTATTTATAAAAGATAGAAATGACAAAGTATAAAGTGACATACTTACCATTATTTTAAAGAGAGTAGTACATTCTGCTTTAGTCTTCTTATTCAAACATTTAGATTATCTCGAGATTAATGCATAATATTTTTGGGTGTGCATAATAAGTTCCCCAATTTTCTTGTTTTTTTTATATCGACGGCTACGATAAAGAGAAAAAATTATAATGCAAAAAATATGAGCACAAAGAATGCTACTTATTAATCGATTAGTCACTGAATGAACTCCCAAGATGATTTGCCTATTATTCCTTACGAAGCTTGTTGCTACTGGGTAGGGGACCATTTATGAGGATGAGAAGAATTTGAGTATATCAGTTGAGGTCCGTCCATAAGATGTTGGCTTCCCAACCGATCGCCTTCATTTGGTTGGAAAGCTTGTGGGTCTAGCCAATCGATCTTGGCGACACGGCTAATCGTTTGTATTTGTTGGTCCGGTCAGACAATATTGGTATCACGACTGAACACTTTTGTTTGGTTAAATGGATTGTTGCTTGAGGACTGTAATACTATTCCTTTGAACTATTATTACAATAGAATTAATCTATTGAATTTAAGTGTATTTTCTCGATTCATTCTAAATTTCATTTGCAATCTGTCTTCACTATATCATAGAGCATTCAACCATTTATTTTATGAATATTTTTCTTTTTTTCTGGCATTATAAATATAAAAATAAGAGATTGCTTATTTAATTTAAACTATTTTGGGAATTTACATGCGTTTGTACGAATAAACTCCTCAAGGCCATCTGGTATGACATATTATTTATTTACTTTTTTTTTTTTTTATAAATTTATAAATTTTATGATTCAAGATATGAGAATATTTGTATAGAATTTATATGTTGAATAAAAGAATTAGGATAATGACCATATATATATATATATATAAATGAAATCTGTATTTCTCAGGCTCTAGGCCCCATGATG